TTTGAAATTGGCTGTAATTCAAGGAAATACAGCCAATTTTCGGGTTTTAACCAGTTAAAACTTAGGTTTCAAGCTCATGAACTTTTTATTTTCAAAAATGTGAGCGACAACAAATATCGGAATGGCTGTATAAGCTTATTTTCAGCCAGATTCACAAGTAGAACAGTTCCATAGGTAACTGCTTGCTCTTTCCTGTCCCCAAATTGAGGAACTTGGAAAACATCACAGTCCTCAGGCAAGCCGAACCGGTCTTTGATTCCTGCTTTAGTTCTTTGACTGACACATTCTCTTTGAACATCCCGGACTGGATCCTGTTTGGCATTGTGTTGTTGAGCCTTCTTCCTCTTTTGGTACTCCGCAAGGTCTTGCTTTCTGAGGTCTGATACTGGTTTTGGCATCTACGTAAAAAAAACATTGTTTTGATTAGTGGAATGCTCATCAAAGAATGAAGATTTCTTAATTTGTGTGGGGATGCAATGAAATAATGAATAAAGTGAATAAACAATGAGTGGTTAAATTTTTGATGGATTGAATATTTGATGGATTGAATGATTGAGTATGAATTACATGAATATATAAATTTATGAATAATTGTTTGAAGAAATGATTGATAAAGTAATTTCTTGAGGATTGAAATCAGGAAGCACCGAGATACATTTAGCAAAGGGTTAGGCTGGTAGTTGGGGGTCCCCTTGGTCACTTGCCCTGCCCTTCACAAGACATAAACATCTCTGCATGTATCTCAAGTACTTCCGTCTTCCATGAGTCAATGTGAATAACCTTGAGCTGTAAGTCTTTTGATATAAGTGAATTTGCATTAATGAATAATTGTTTGAAGAAATGATTGATAAAGTAATTTCTTGAGGATTGAAATCAGGAACACTGTGAACATCATTCAACTTCCCCACATTGGAAGAGGAAAATGATGAATAGTACAGTTTGTCATAAAAGAATCCAATACCGCTCACCTGAGCCTCAACACCCACACTACATATGTGTAGTACGCTAAGTAAATAGTTTTCCATCATGTACATACAGGTCTGCTCAGTTTTTTGCCCAACAGAATATATAAATCACATGTCATACCACATGTAACTTTTTTGACTTGGAAAAAATTGTCCCAAGAATTCACTACATATAATTCTGTCGCTGCTCAGGCAATATTTTTGAAGCTATTTGTTAGTAACAGAAAGGGTATTACATGCAGTTGAGTTGATGAGATTACACCAAAACGTTGAGTCAGTGTATGTAGTCTATCTTTTGAATGCTTTTGTCAATCTGAAAAAAGTTACAGCATGTATTACATATGAACAACTCATCCTGATGAGCAGATAACTGAGCAGAACTGTATGTACAAGATAACCACCAATTCACTGAGCCTGCTACACATATGTAGTGTGGGTGTATGGCTCGGGTGTGGAGTGATAGATCATTTTATGACAAATGATACTCCCAATCATTTTTTCCTGCCCACTTGGGGAAGTTGATTAATGTTTGCAGTGGAAGCACCGAGATACATTTAGCGAAGGGTTAGGCTGGTAGTTGGGGGTCCCCTTGGTCACTTGCCCTGCCCTTCACAAGACATAAACATCTCTGCATGTATCTCAAGTACTTCCGTCTTCCATGAGTCAATGTGAATAACCTTGAGCTGTAAGTCTTTTGATATAAGTGAATTTGCATTAATGAATAATTGTTTGAAGAAATGATTGATAAAGTGATTTCTTGAGGATTGAAATCAGGAAGCTCTGAGATACATTTAGCAAAGGGTTAGGCTGGTAGTTGGGGGTCCCCTCGGTCACTTGCCCTGCCCTTCACGAGACATAAACATCTCTGCATGTATCGCAAGTACTTCCGTCTTCCATGAGTCAATGTGAATAACCTTGAGCTGTAAATCTTTTGAATTATATGAGTCTTCTTTTGCGGTTAACGAAAATGTTTGATAAATTTTGATTAGTTTGAGGTTTCATGTATCAATCTTTAATCAATTAGTATCAGCTTCTTGTGGATTCTTCATGGTTCTTATATGTTCTGTCTTCATCATCCTGAAGTTTATGGAAGTAATGGGAAGACAAAGGAACAACAAATATTACCTTGGTTGATTCAAAGAATTGAAGGAAGCGGACAGAATGGTTTTCAATAATAATATCAGAAGAATCAGAGAACACAGGACTGGTTAAATGCTTGCACTCGAATGGTGGCTGAGTTGTGGTCAGCCATTACACTGTGTATGCACATGTAGCCTTACACATTACAGTTGATATGTTTAAATATCTAACATGTAAACATATGGTGCATACAAATGTTGATGGGCCAAAAGAGTCATCACTCAAGACCCAATGATGGTTGACATTGCATACGTAAAATTTTTTTGTGACCATAGCAAAAAAAACATAGATTATACAAAACATTCACTCGAGTTCCATTGAATTTTCATCCTCCCCTACAACTGTCAGCTTGGTGGTGCTAGTCTTCGCCATGGAGATATAGGCTTTAGGAAGAATAGCACAAGGCATACCGTGCGACACAATCACTGAGTGATTGTGCAATGACAAGGCCACCTAAGGACTAGGTGGTCAAACATTAAAAGTAAGGCCACCTAGCTGTTAGGTGGCCTGGCCATCGCACCATCACTCAGTAATTGTGCGATGGAGCACAGGGCCAAAAAGATGTTGAACTCGGCCCCAGACCGACTGTAGCTTCATCACACAATGACTGAGTGATTGTGCAATGGCCTGGCCGCCTAACTGCTAGGTGGCCTTACTTTTGAAGTTTGACCACCTAGCGCTTAGGCGGTCAAACTTGACAGCCCAATTTTCCACTCAATCACTCATTAATCAAGTGGCTTCCAAGTACCTTGGACCGTCAAGGTCCCAGTTACTGTACCTTTTAAAGTTTGAGTCACTAAATTTAAAAGGTATAGTACCTGAGACCTTAGGTGGTCTAGTCAATACCTGGACCACCTAGCTCCTAGGCAGTCTGACTCTAAAAGGTAGACCACCTAGGATTACAAGAAAGATAATATTTCCGCACGATCACCGAGTGATCGTGCGATGGAGTGACCACCTAAATCCTGGGTGGTCTACCCAGCCAAAATATGCATCTTGTTCCCTGTGTTGAGAACTTCACTCTGCATATCCTAGGTGGTCTACCTTTTATATTGATAAGTGTACTAACAATAAACCTTCACAATCATCCAAT